CTGGGCGGCGGGACCAGGGCCCGGCCCCGGCCGGGTTGGGGGCGGCGGGAAGCCCGCTGCACTCGAGGCCTCGACGCCTCGCTCACCTCCTCCGGCCGCGGGGCCCTGGATGCGCCTCCGTCTGCCGCAGCGGCCGGCACCACCGGCACTCGCGCCACGAAGCCGCGGCCTCTCTGGAACTTTTTATATGTTTCTCTGTCTTTGTCTCTTTCTGTCTCTGCACCTTTCTCACTGTTTTCTGAATCTCTTTATCTCTGTGTTTCTTTCTGCATCTCTCTGTTTCTTTTTCTCATCACTTTACATCTTATCGCTGTTTCTGTATGCGTGTCTGTCGCTGCTGTGTGTCTCCAGAGTGTCTAGCAGAGTTTGCACAATTTTAAGGAAGATTCTGATTGGTCAAGTCTGGGTCACATACACATTTCTCAGAAATACCACCCAGTGCATGGGATGCAGATAGCTGGCCTTACGTTCCCAGCCCACATTAGTAATGGGGACTGGCCCTTGCAGATCCTCAGGATGCTGGAAATGAGTCCCCAGCGTGGAGATGTCTACTCCTGTCACGTGGAGCACCCCAATCTCGGAAGTTCTCTCACAGTGGAGTGGCACAAGTTACAATTTGTTTCCTTTCACTGTGAGTCCCACAAGGAAGAGGCAGAACTCCCTCAGGTTCTGGAGTCCCTCATTAGGAGTGCTGACTCACACTCAACCTATCTCTTGTTTCCTACACCATCATCTGATCTGTGCAGGTATTCTCAGGGAACAGAGCTCCTCTTGTCTGTGGACATATTATCTGTTGATTTCTTTCTTTGTTTTAATTTTATTGTGCTTTAGGTAAAAATTTACAGCTCAAGTTAATTTCTTAATCAAAAATTTATACACACGTTATTTTGTGATATTGGTTGCCATCCACATAATGTGACAGCATGATCCCTTTTCCACCTTGGGTTCTCTGTGTCCATAAGTCCACTTCCTGTCCCTTCCTGCCTTCATGTCTTGCTTTTGGACAGGAGTTGCCCATTTGATCTCATATATTTGATTGAATTAAGGAACACTTTCCTCACATGTGCTGTAGTTTGTTTTATAGGCCTATCTAATTTTTGTCTGAAAAGTGGACTTGAAGGTTACATAGGTGGGGATTCCTACCACATCCCCACTCAACTCACCTGTCTGGCTGTGCAAAAAACAGATGGGTCTTGGAGAATGACAGTGGATCATCATAAACTTAGCCAGGTGGTAACTCCAATTGCAACTGCTGTTCCAGATGTGGTTTCATTGCTTGAGCAGATTAATAAAACTCCTAGTACCTGATATGCAGCTATTGATTGAGCCAATGCCTTTTTCTCTATCCCTGTTTCAAAGGAACACCAGAAGCAGTTTGCCTTTAGCTGGCAAAGCCATCAATACACCTTCACTGTCCTACTTCAGGGGTCTATCAACTCTCCAGCCCTATGTCATAATTTAGTCCTCAGGGAACTTCAACACCTTTCCCTTCAACAAAAAACCACACTGGTCCACTACACTGATGACATTATGCTGATTGGACCTAGTTAGTAGTCATATCAGAATTTAGTTGCTGTAGTTTTCCACTGACTTTAATCACAGGGCATGGTAGTACTTAGAGAAGCCCTAAGGGATCTGTTGCATCCCAGACATACTCTTCTTTACCTCCATTGTGTAATACCAGTCCTATTTCCCACTGGTAATCAGGATCAATCACGCCAGCCAGTATGGTAACTCCCTTCTTTGACTGTT